TGGTCAGGCTACATAGCCCAGCTTAATTCGCACAAAGTGTAACACGGTGTCTTCTCTCGGCATGCGGGATTCATTCTGTATTGCAGTGAGATGTTTCGCTTGGATTATGAAAGTAAATTTTAAAAAAAAAGTTCTCAAATTCCAGTTCTTGTAAAAATGCAACATTTCCGTTTTACAGATTTGAAAATTGCTTTGGAAGGGGTTTGGCATTCATTGAGGAAATCAATCGCAAGGGCGAAATACGAATCTTATAGGCAGGCTTTGAATGGGCAGAACAGGTTTGTTGCCCCTTTAATAGTTTGAGCCATTCCCCCTTAGTGCATCAGTTGGCTTCTTCTGCAAGGACAGCGCTTTACCTTCTGACTTGGTGGAGTATCAAACTTGTCGGTGTGAAAGAAACAAGTGCGAGAAATTATGTTAGGAGGCGCAAAATTCAGCCCAGGAAAGGTGGACGGGAATAAAAGTGTTTTATATCAAAAAGGTACAAAAATCTTTTCGGAATTATTAGACTGCATTGAAAAGACAGAGTGGGTCCAGAAATATTGAAAAAAATTGCAAGCGGGACAAAAATCGTATCTTTTTCTCGAGATTGATGAAGTTAAGGGTCTTTTTTCAGCCGTGTGCTCTCCACAATTCTTTTGATGTCTCGCAGCTATTCCTTGTTTTTCAATAAATAAATTGCAGTAGTTTGATTTCAGAAGTGATGTTAAATTAGGCCTTCCTGACGAGTCGATTGGTGGCTTACGACGTGAAGACGCCGCGTCTTCGTATTGTATTCCTGATTCCTACATTTGTGCAGTAAGTTATTTTTTCCTTACAAGAGAATTCACAAGGCATTCTCGTCGCTGCTGTTTTACACGGAAGCTGTTGCATGACGAGGAAGTACATATGTTTCGGATATTTTCGCGCCTCTCTCTCATTTTTAGAGTTTTTTACCCAGCTCTTTTCCTGCTTCTTGTTTTCAGCTATCGTTCTGTAGTAATATTTATGGCATTTCTTATCTGCTGTAGCTCTGTATAATCGCAAAACAGACAGTGACATGAAACAAAAACAGCGCTGGAAAATCCGCTGATCACCGCAGAACTGCTGATCTTAGGGTGTTCGCTCAACTACGCTACACCTCTAGACACATGACACGCCCTTGCCATATACTTCCTTCCAACCCCCTTTTACATCATTTATTATGTCAATGCACTTTACCAGCAGTAATGCTGCTCTTTCCAACACTCAGTAGCAAGGTTAGTTGAGAAATTTTTGGGAGATTTTTTAGTTGAGTAGTGACTAAAATTTGGTGCTTCATATGCTGCTTAGCGAAAAAAAGCTAAATTTATTCCGTTCCTGAGTCTGTGAGAGAGCATTTCGACTGGTGTCGCATGAGCCAAGAGCTACCGCCAGCTGACAGTTCCCTGGCTGCCTCAATAAAGCGTTTTATCCTAGTCCATTATAGGGCATGGAAGTGGCCAGCTTTCTGCTACTCGGGCATAATACGAAAACGTGGTCAAACGTTTGCTGTGTTGGGAAGAGCACCGAATTTTTCATCACGAGAAGCATGCAAGATATTCTTGTAACTGTTAGAAGCAAAATCCGCTGGGCGAAGCGCGTTGAGGTGGAGCGGGGGAGGGGGACTATCGCCTAATTCTAAGTGATAGCTCTGAGATGGATAGCAGCTATCCGGACGGTATTCCGAATGGATATTAGGCAAATGTGATGAAGGCAGGTAAGAGCGGGAGAAAAGTTTTTTTGGACAATAGGGACTCGTATGGCTATTCTCAACATTATTTTAGCAAAGAACTCTGGTCGCTATTTTATGCTGTTGTTTTCGGGCTTTGTTGAGTACCAGGGAAAGGCTGAAACAAAACTGGTCACACGCAGTTCTGCAGCTTATCATTAGTGATAAATTACCTTGTTTTTAGATCGTAGGAGTTATAACGGACTTGACTGTGATATCACTGTACAGATGCTTTTACGATTTGTATGTTTCTGAGTCTTGTTTGGCGTTAGTGAGGCGTAATTTGGTAGAAGCGCCGAATTTGTCTTACGATTCCAAAAAATCTTTTCAGACTGCACACAACACACTGCAACCCAAAGAATGCGTGTCACTATCAAAAGAGTCAAGTGAAATGGTGGAACCGGCTACATCGCCTGTTGATGCTTGCTCGCAGTGAGTTCTTGTTCTGAGACCAGTTTGTCGCTAAATTTGTTAGATATGTGGCTTATTGGTAAACGTGTGCAGCACATATTCGATGTCAGTACTTATATTTTTGCCTGACATCAAAAAAAATATCATTGCTTCACTCTGAGGCACATGGCTCCGTGGGCGCTTGAAGC